AACAACATCTTAAATGTCCAAGGTCTCAAAAAGCAACCAGGTATTGTGGAACCTGGATCTTATATAATTTGGGGAGCCCTCTTTAAGAAAAAGTCATGAAATTACAAACCAAATTGGGTGTGAAAATGAATGTTTATTTAGAGTGAGAAAAGAAATCACAACAGACTGGAGCCATGGAGGTTCAGGGCTCTTTCTTTTAAAATCTCTTTAGAAGATTTACCACAAATGCGTCTTGATGGCAACCTGGCCACTCCCTACTCAGCCGCTTGCCGCAATTTGCAGCCCTTACAGGGCCTCCTGAGCTTCATGAGCTCCAGGATAGATCTGCCTCCATACGCCCTGTCTCAGGAAGCCATGCTCCAGCAAAACCGAGGAATGAGACGGTGTGGAAGCCAAGAAACAGGAATCCAGTACACTTCAAAGGGTAGTAGTGAGGGAGCTCTCAGTGTTAACAGGGGGCTCAGAGAATAACCACTCCCAGAGAATGGAGGGCGGAGCAGAGATGTTGCCAAGGGGGGAAAAAAAAAAAAACGCTACTTAGTTGATGTTTAACTCTATTGAGAGAAATTTTACCATCCTGTCAAAGTTTGAGCAAGATTGGTAATGAGTACTCAAAAAACTAAGCAATTGACGAAAACATAGCAATTACTGATTCTAGGGGATAGAAAAAGGTTATACAAGAAAGGAAGTGTAAAAATGGTATATCACGTGGCTCAGTTGTGAATAATACATAGTCATAATGTAAACACTAAACATTGCTGTAACAAAAAATTAGGATATAACTATATTGGGACTTTGCAAGAAAGAGAAGTAAATGTGAGATAGAATAATGAAGGGATAAGAGAGCTAAATCCTCATCCTCCACTGCAGGATGTCAGTAGATACTATCTAGAACTGGAAAAAGAAAAAGAAACAGCCAGTATTAGCATGTTATTTGGGAATATGGTGGTAAATATGAGAGAGACATAGCCAAAAGCACTGAAAGTAGTTGCCTTGAGGGAGGCAGCTCAGTATAGACTCAGTAAAAACCTTGTAGAACTTATGACTTCTATGCATTTATTTATGTTGACCAAAACAGAGAATTAAAAAAGAAAGTAATAGCCTCAAGAGGAGTGAGACAGAAAGATGTTGGAAATAAAATGAAGGTGCCTCTGCTAAACTACCTCAAATTCAGTGTTTTTCAAGTTGTGGTCCTGCAACCACCTGCATTCAAATACCTGGAGTGCTAGTTTATAATTCAGATTTATAGACCCATCCCAGACCTAAATAACAAGCATTTCTTGGGGTGGGCCTCGGAATCTACAATTTCAATCTACAAGAAAAAAATTATCTATTGCTAAAGTAAACCAAAGAACAAAAAAATAATAAAAAACAACAACTTTTGTAGAAACAAAGGGTCAGTGACCCATAAAACATACCATGGCAGACACTGCTGGTTGCTTACCAAATATCCATTCTCCCTTCCTTCCTTATTAGCAGAGCTCTATTTTGTTGTATTAGCAACATATCTGACTAAAACACTGAATTTTCTCAGGCTCCCTTACAGTTAGGAGTGGCTATGTGACATAGTTCTCATATGAATGAGATATAAGACGTCTGCTGGGTAGAACCTTCAGGAAAGATCTAATTATTATTAAAAAAAGGACAGACTCAGCTGGTACATGCCTGGCCCTTCTTTCTAATAAGCACAGAAGAGGGGCCTATCTTTCAGAGGACAAAAGCAGCCCACGGAGGAGGGTGGTGCAGGAGCAGGAGACAGATGGAGCCTGTCCTGGCCTTGGACTTCTCACCTCCAGACATCAGGTTATCTGAGAAAAACAAACTCCTTACTAGTAAACCACTCTAGCAGGGTTTTCTGTTACTTGTAGCTGAATGAAGTCCTATTGACATCTTGTACTTGTTCAAACGTGTCTTTGATATACGTTGAACACCTTTTATCGAGTGCTTACTATGGGCACTGTGCTAGGAATAACACAATGGGCCAGACAAATAAGGCTCTTTCCCTCATGGAACGTGGAATACAGTCAGAGTAGAAGAATCTACAGGTATTTGAGTCCAGGATTCAGGGAAGCTATGGTTTGCTGTCACAGATCCAAAGTAATAGAGTAAATCAAACTAAACCACTTGATTTATGTTTCTAGGAAATTCTCAGGGGACCACATGCCAGAAAGAACAACATTCGGAACACTGGGAGGTTTAGGTTTTAGCTGTAATTCTTCAGCAAAGTAGATTGGGGGAGGCAACGTGGGGTACTTGCTTAATTTTTCCTGAATCCTTCTTTCTTCTTTGAAAGACAAGAAGATTGGGCTTAATAATCTTGAAGGCTATCCTTAGCTCTAAAATATTTTTGTGATTACATTGAACACAGAGGGGCACGAAAAATACCAAACAAGAATGTTTCTAAATTTAGATTCTAAGAGGTCAAGTCAGAGAATATATTAAATGAATGTTCCGGAAAAACAAATCACAAACAACTCCCCACCCCCAAATTAAACAAACAAGCAAACAACAGCGTGGAGGGAGTGCTGCTGTTATGGAAGAAGTTCTGGTTTGAGTCCTGGCCCTGCCACATAACAGCTGGGTGACTCGAGGCCAGATCCTTAGTCCTCAGTTTCAGCTTCCTTGTTTATGAAGAGGCTATTACTCTTACCTCACAGTGCTGCTTATGGAAATCGCCTTGTACTCTGTAAAGCCCCATTATGATCTGTTACCAGCAAGATTCTGGTCAATGGCTTATAATATCTAAATCCTGCAAGGGAAATACAGGAGTGTGCTTCGATATCTTCAGTTTAATTCTTCATCACATAAGGCTGCTAGATCTTTTGAGTTTCCATCTCCCTCCAGTAGTGTATCTTGTGACCCATTTTATTTTTACACAAGAGAACAAACGAGAAACAAAAACAGCTAAAATTCAAATCATCTCTCTGTGTGTGTAGCCCCAGTAAAGGTTTGGGGGAGAGACCTGGCTGGTTAAAAGGGAAGTTGAGTTCACGTGAAGTGTAGGGATGACAGCACTTACCTGTGGCCTCTAATTGTTCATATGCAGCATTGTATAGGACTGTGAGTAATCTAGTTTTTATCTTATGATCTGGCTATAGAAACAAATATGGATCTGAACTCTGTCTACATATGCAGCCATTAGTTGATGACACAGTACTGACTTCCATTCTCTTATCCACAATTATAAAAGGTTTTGCAATAACAGGAACTTTGGCTATGGGAGTGGCTCCACATATAGTAAAACCGCCCTTATCCATTTTCAACAAGCAGATGCATTTGCGGAAAAGAGAGAATCTTTTCATTACAACCAACATAGGTAACATCTGTACTTTGACCAATTAGGCATCGCAGCCGATGCTAACTTGAGGGTGGTGGGGAGATAAGAAAGCAGACGTCTTTCTTTCTCTTTACCCCCTTTATACTCCAGTCATTGCCAAATCCTGACCATCTCAAAGTGCCATTTGCTAAGATTAGGCAAGAGACCTAACCAAGGATATATTGGGGAAGACATCAAATCCAATAACTGGTGCCGAACATGAGATTCAGTAGTTTTACCTCGGCCATCCCAACCAGCATCCACCGGAAGGGTGAGGAAGGAACCCATAGAACATAAGGAAAAATATGCAGTATGAGAGAAGTGGTACTATTTTCCACCTCCCATGACAGAAGTGAGAGGATGTCAAGGCTCTTTAAAAAAGGAAATTTAATGCTTGGCTCTATAATGCCAGAACAAATAATGCACAACCAGAAATAATGTCCCGGTTTCTGCTTATGTTGGGCACTCTCCTCTTGTAAAGTCAAAGGACCAGAGTCAATAAATCCTTCGTATCAATTCCATATCTCTTTCAGAAAGTCTAAGAACAGAAGGTAACTACATCATTATTAAGCGACGAACTCTCAGTCATGAAGAACTAAGTCTGAAGCGGCACTGGCCCTATATCTCAGTGTATTATGATTCTCCCCTACCGTGTCTAACATGGTACAAAACCCAGATTACACTGAATAGGTTGCACATCTGCTTAAAAACAGTACATGTTTCTCACGAACAATAAGCCCATACTACCTATTAAAATGAATGTAAAAATACATATGAAATTCTTATGCCACTTTATGAGCCAAACAGAGCGGTGGGTGGGGCGATGGGGCAAATGGTCTGCAAGGAGGTGGAAAATGGCAGACACTGAGGGGAGACGCGGAAGAGAACGGGAAGGAAATGGTCATTTCTGTGACTATTAGACGAGGTGCCAGGCTGAAATTTTAAAATGATCTATTTCATAAAGCGATCAGTTTCCCTTCTTGAAACATAAGTCTTTTTTACATCTAGGGCTAGATGCTATCTCCAGAGGTTATCCCTCTGGACCCAGGCAGGGTCACCTAAAACTATTTTTAGGTCCAACGTAAACCTCTCCAACCACTGCTAATCTTACCCCTTTCTACCCACTGGCCTATTAGTGGAAGCTAAGTAATAGCTCAGGGGACTTGATCAATCAGTCGCCTCTTATTATTAGATTCCAGGCTTCTGGCCTAAGGAAGGCATCCGGTTCCTGTATTTGGGGATTGGCGCTAACCAGGAGAGACAGTAGGGGTGTAAGTGCCCACGGCTATGTGGAGCAGACTGAAAACAGCTCGGGGTCTCTGCGCCAGAAACGAGACATCACCTGCGGGTGTCTTCCGATCCTCGGGGCGGAAAGGAAGGCAGGGACTTCACTCCTCGACGCTCCTCGCACCGGACAACACGGTCGACCTGCCTGGCTGGGGACGCAGCAGTGTTCACTCCAGGGCCGCCGGCGGACAGTGGGGCGCCGGCGTGGTGGGAGCCACGAGGGGCGCCCGCCCCCAGCCCCGAGGGGGCTCCCAGGTCAGCCTCCCCAGCCCCGGGCCTTCCCACCCCTCCCCTGCCCGAGCCCGCCTGCCCGGCCCGCCTCCTCTGGCCGACCCCTCTTCCCGCCCGAGTGCCCCTCCGGTCGCCCAGCCCCCTCCGCGTCCGGTGCCGTGCTCACAGCGGGCGTCTCACCTGCGCCGAGCGCCTCCGAGCCGAGCCGTCCGCCTCCCGCCCGGCGCGGCGAGTGCTGCAGCCACCCAGCAGGTGCGAGCGCCCCGCCCGGCCCGGGCCTGCCACCAGCCGGCCCTCCCCGCTCCTGCCCGCCCCTCCCCGGCCCTGCCCGTGTGCTGGGCCTCCGGTCTCACAGCCCGCGCTTCCCTCCACTCCCCTGACCCTTCCGCCCCGAGGACACTGGCCCCGGACACTCCTTAAGGTGTGTGCTCCCACAGGGGCCGGTGGTGGGCACCCAAGGTGGACTGCGGCCAACCATGACCTCCTATGATGCAAAGCAATTAACAGAGCCTGTGAGGTGGCGAGGACGAGGTCTCAGCGCAGAGGCTGTCACAAGGAACACTGGTTACCAAGCCAGACAATCACGGTGAACACACGTGAGAACTAGTCACGGATCACCTTCCAGCAAAGGCAGACTCTGGTGCCATATCCTGGACCAGAATCCAGTTTTCTAGTTTAAGCTTGGTGTCACATTCATTCATTCATTCACTTACTCATTGACTTCATTCATTCATTCAACAAATCTACCACATGCTACTGGGTAGGCACTGTTCTAGGTGCTGGAGATAGAGCTGCGAAGGAGACAAAGTCCCTGCCTTGAAGGAGCTCGCTTACTCCTAAGGAATGCATGATTTTCTTCATAGGTATCATGTGGTCTCAATGCCCTCATCTGTAAGTTAAGCTGTTGGCCTAGCTGAATAGTTTCCCACCCTGTCTGTTGCTCATAATCCCAGTGGAAGTTAAAAGACCCAAGAGCTAAGGCTCCATCTCAGACCTCCTGGTCAGAATCTGGGAGGTGCTGGCAGACGTACCTATTGGAAACCTCTCAGGGGACCGGAGGAAGTCAGGGTTAAGAACCTGCCCCTAGATCTCTAAGATTCCTTCTGTCTTATTCCATTGTGGAGGGCACTGGAAACCAAGAAAGGCTTTGTGGGAAAGATGCGGTATTTAGGTTTTAAAGGCAAAGGATATACACTAGCAGGGTGGAAGGGGACGGAATCCCAAGTACGGCTTCTTTTGATCAAATAGCTTTTCTTTTCTGTGAAGTCAAGCGAAGGCACTTTTGAGCATAAGGCATAAACTTGAGCAAATCTTTCCTCTCTAGAGCAGAGAGAGTGAGGCCTGGTGGAAGGAGATAATGGCAGAGGCACTGCTCTCAGTTCAAAGCTAATTGAACCATATGCTTCAGATGAATAATGTGCCAGAGCCAGGCGGTGGGAGAGCACTTTAATTTCCTGTCAACTTGGGAGTTCATTTAACCACCAGGCCTCATTCTGGCGCTTGCTCACACCCATTATTTTGAAATGGATGATAAGGCGAGTCCTGTATACCTATCACCCTGGGAAATGCTGTTTCCTGTCATCAGATCCCTGCTATGCTCATAATGTTTTCTTTTTCTCTAAGGCTATGATGATGAAACAAATGTGTGATCTCTTAGTTGTAGTTACTGGTGGGTAGAGATGCTTCTTAACATTGAAAAATCAGAACTAAGAAAATGATCTCTGCCTCAAATCATAATATCCAAGTGCCAGGACAAACCAGTTTTTACAAAATAAATTTTACCATCTTTAACTTGATCTGTAAAAACAATGTAAATCAAATAGCTTAAATCAAAACAGTTGACAAAAGATAAAGTACCAATATCAACAGCTATAAATTAATACAATAAGAATAGCTAACAATTATAAAGTCATTTTAATATAACAGTGGAACAGATTAGCGTCTAGAAACAGATCCAGTTACATGTGGACCTTAATAAACACAAGAATGGCATTTTAATTCAATGGGAAATGGTTTATTTTATAAATATTGCTGACATAATTGACTATTCTTTTGGAAGGTCTTATCATAAAGTTGCTTATTATCCAATCTCCCCTTGGCCATCATGGTAATAATTGGTCACATGGCCACCTAGAATGAGTACTATTTTTCCTAGCCTCCTTTTTTGCTAGGATGGGCCATGTGACTAAGTTCAGGACAATAGGCTATGAGTGGCAGTGGTACAGGCAACTTCTGGGTGGAGTCCTGAAAGGAAGGGGATGTGCCCATCTTCTCACCTTCCCTTCTCCTGCTGACTGGAATATGGACATTAGAGTGAGCCATCTTGGACCGCAAAAATGAATGGTGGAGTAAGAGGATAAAAGGAGGCTGGATTCTTGGATGATCTCACACAGTGGTCTCCATACCAGTCCTGGAATGCCCTTCTCCAGACTGTGAAAGAGAAATAAAATTATATCCTGTATAAGTCACAGCTATTGGAGGTTTTTGTTACATGCAGCCAAATCCATAACCTAACTAATGCAGAACATCTTCCCTCCTGCTTTATACCATGAACAAACAAAAACTGAAGATGGATTACAGAAAGATCTAAATATACCATTTACTTTGCCCAGTAATCAGAGTTTGGAGACTCCATTGTTCAGAACTAATCTATCATAAGAACCTTAAAGATTCTGGCTGCAACATTATTTATAACAGGAAATGTTTGTCAATATGGGAGTAGTTAAATATAGTGTAGCATGCCCTTTCTGTTATTTATTGTGCAGTTATTAAGAAGGATGAATTAGATTTATATTTACTGACCAGGAAAACAGTCATGACGTATGGTTGAAGTTAAAAAGTTTACAGTGGTGAGGAATTTTTTCTTTTCTTTTTTTTGTGTGTGGTAAAATATACATAACATAAAAATAACTATTTTAACCATTTTTAATTGTATGCTACAGTGGCATTAAGTACATTCACATTGTTGTGCAACCATCACCACTATCTATCTCCAGAACTTTTTCGTCATCCTATACTGAAACTCTATACCCATTAAACAATAACTGCCCATTCCTTGCTCCCCCAGCCCCTGGTAAGCGCTATATCATAGATACATTCTGTCTCTATGAATTTGACTACTCAAGGTATCTCATTACAAGTGGAATCATACAGTATTTGTTCTTTTGTGTCTGGCTTATTTCACTTGGTATAGTGTCTTCAAGTTACATCCATGTTATAGCATGTATCAGAATATCCTTCCTTTCAAAGGCTGAGTAAGATTCCGTTCTATGGTTATGCCGCATTTTTGTTTATCCATTCATCTGTTGATGAACATTTGGGTTGTTTCCACCTTTGGCTATTGTGAATGATGCTGCTTAATGAACCTTGGTGTACAAATATCTGTTCAGGTTCCTGCTTTCAATTCTTGGTGTATATACCCAGAAGTGGAATTGCTGGATCAAATGGTAATTTACTATGTTTAAGCTTTTGAGGAACTGCCATACTGTTTTGCAGCTTTACCGTTCCCGCCAGCAGTGCACAGGATTCCAGTTTCTCTACATCCATCCCAACACTTGTTTTCTGTGTTTTGATAATAGCCATCCTAATGGGTGTGTAGTATCTCACAGCAATTTTGATTTTCATTTTCCTAATGATTAGTGCTGTTGAGCATTTTTTCATGTGCTTATTGGCCATTTATATATTTTCTTTGGAGAAATGTCTATTAAGTGCTTTGCCCATTTTTTGAATTAGGTATTTTGTTTTTTTGTTGTTGAGTTTTAGGAGTTCTCTACATATTCTGGGTAAATCTCATATCAGATATTTGATTTGCAATTGTTGTCTCCCATTCTGTGGGTTGCGTTTTTACTCTGTTGATAGTGTCCTTTGATGCAAAAAAGTTTTAATTTTGATGAAGTCCAGCTTGCTATTTTTGCTTTTGTTGCCTGTGCTCTTGATGTCATATCCAAGAAATCATTGCCAAATGCAAGGTCATGAAGATTTCCCCCACTTCTAAGAGATTTATAATTTTAGCTCTTATGTTTAGATCTTTTATCCATTTTGAGTTAATTTTTGTGTGTGGTGTTAGGTAAGGATCTACCTTCATCCTTTTGCATGTGGATATCCAGTTTTCCCAGCATCATTTGTGGAGAAGACTGTCCTTTCTCCATTGAATGGTCTTGGCACCTATGTCAAAAATCACTTGACCATATATGCAAGGGTTTATTTATGGAATCTCTTTTCTATTTCATTGGTCTATATGTCTGTCTTTATGCCAGTACCACACCATTTTGATTATTGTAGCATTGTAGCAAATTTTGAAATCAGAAAGTATGAATCTTCCAAATTTGTTTTTCTTTTTCCAGATTGTTTTGGCTATTTGTGATCCTTTGAGAGTCTGTATGAATTTTAGGATGAAGTTTTTCTATTTATGCAAAAAACATCTTTGGGATTTTGATAGGGATTGCATTGACTCTGTAGATTGCTTTGAGTAGTATTAACATCTTAAAATCAAGTCTTCCAATCCGTGAACACAAGATGTTTTTCCATTTATTTATGCCCTTAATTTCTTTCAGCAACATTTTGTAGTTTTCAGTGTACAAGTCCGTTACCTTCTTGATTAAGTTAATTCCTAAGTATTTTATTCTTTTTGATGCTGTTGTAAATGGAATTGTTTTATTAATTTCCTTTTCAGATTTTTGTTGTTAGTGTATAGAAATGCAACTGATTTTTGAATGTTGATTTTGTATTCTGTTACTTTGCTGAATTCATTTATTACTACTAGCAGTTTTTTGTGTGTGTGTGGAACAGTTTGGGTTTTCTACATATAAGATCATGTCATCTGTGAATAGAAATCATTTTATTTCTTCCTTTCTAACTTGGATGCCTTTTATTTCTTTTTGTTGCCTAATTGCTCTTGCTAGAACTTCTAATATTATGTTGAAGAGAAGTGGAAAAAATAAGCATCCTTGTGTTGTTCCTGATCTTAGAGGAAAAGTTTTCAGTCTTTCACCACTGAGTATCATGTTAGCTGTGGGTTTTTCATATATATTATTATGTTGAGGTAGTTTCTTTCTTTTCTTAGTTTGTTGAGTGTTATTTTCATGAAAGGATGTTGAATTTTTTTTTGGTGAGGAAGATCAGCCCTGAGCTGACGTTCCATGCCAATCCTCCTGTTTTTTGCTGACGAAGATTGGCCCTGGACTAACATCC